TCTTTTCTTGCGTTTAAATTCAATACGCATATATGTTTAGCTATATAAGCTTGAATTGTACATTTGCGATTTTGCAAAGAAAATCCCGTGTTTTGTCATATTGCTATAGTTTTTAAGGGACAAATTGACGCTGTAATGGCAGCATACGATTGATACGAACGGCATAAACGTTGTTTTTCAAAGCTATAATATTTACAAACGATATCAAATGAATCGTATTATTAAAGGCTTAGGGAAAGTTTGCGTATTTCTTACAAATATACATTACAAAGTTGTCGTTATAGGCTACGCTTTACGCATCCAGCGTCATACAGTATATCGTGTTTCGGGGATACGTGGTAAACGTGTTGACCAGCCAAACATGGGGTAAACGTGTTGATCAGCAAGTAAAAACTCGCTATTTGCCCACATCTTTTCATTGCGTAACTTATCAGCTTTCCATGTGTTGTAATACAGTTCAGCGGTTGAAATATAAGAAAGAGTTTCCTCGAAAGCATTAACAGGCGGCATATTTTCGATACGCGAGCAAAATTATTGTTGACATTTGAGTTATGTAATTACTTCTGTTAACGAGATTGACCAATGGGAAGCTTTTCCGAAGTTTCTTCGGTCAAGAACAAATTTATCATAGGTATTTAGGCAGGCATTTCCTCAAACAACGCCCTCTCTTTTCCCGCACGCACTAAACGCCTAGGGATCAATAGTTTCACAACTGTGTACAGTTATTTGTTTATCAAGTCAAAATCTCGAAGGTTTTGAAGGTTTAACGATTTGCCAGTGGAGGGCTGCGTCATTTGAGGCATATATTCAAATATTCGTGTTCTGCTTTATTAATTTCTTTTGGGGGGGGGGCATATATTCAAATATTCGTGTTCTGCTTTATTAATTTCTTTTGAAATCAATTGTTTTTATGCTATGTGAACACGAATATATGAATATGCCCCCCCCCCCTAATTATCGTTCTGGCTACGCCACTGCGATTTGCGCAAGATCGGAACTCGATCACGCAATTCCTGGTCCACTATAACTATCGTATACTTGTTATAACTATATATATCGTATACTTGTAGGTATTATGCAATAGTGTGGTATTCTTATAATTTATAGAGTTAAATAGAGAAATGTCGTGAAACTAACCGATCTTTAAAACATTTGAAATTCAGAATAGGCAGTAACTGAAACCAGACCAACATTATGCTGAATACTTCGAAAACAACCTATACTTTATTCTCAAATTTTATGATTAATAAACAATAAATTATTACGCCGCGTTATATATAATTCACTGTTTAACTGTTGAAACCATACAGCATACTGTGCATGATTTCAACATGATATGCATGCATGCAAATTGCGAAGAAAATAGAATAAATCATGTCCGGTCCATGATTTCAGGCAATATTTACGAAGAGATGCCTGCAACTTTCAATAAGGATACACGCAAGCAGAGCAAAATATACGTTCTTCTTCACCTTAATTAAACTGCATGTTTTGTGCAATTGTGCATAGTTCATGCTGACAGTTAGAGTTTCTACATTTAATTCCCTATTATAGCCCCCGTGGATTGACACTCTATTTTGCTTGTATGCAATTCAGATTATTTTGCAGGTTCAATTTCTGCAGATCACAAATTGTATAAATTCATAAAGATTGAACACAAGTTTAGTTTTCAATGCGTTTAATTACTCTTTCTCTTTAGAAATATTCTACATTTATATTAGTTGCATTTTTACTTCCACAGTTTCTTATTTTTCCGTTTCCATGCCAGATTCCTGTCGGTAGAATTTGTTTTCAATATCCCTCTTTTACATCGGTGACTGTAACAATAAAATGTTTAAAAACGAAGGACGTTTGAATGCATTGTACAACTAACCGTTCTCAGGAGAACAGTGCTGCCACTCAATGAGTAAAAGCTGATTTATTAATATTTTCGTTCTTTATAGAGAGTTTCATTGCGTTTATTTACAAGTTATGGTCAATACAGATCATAACGGACCGATAAATAACCGATCCCAGAGTAAGAATTAGGTTAGAATGTAATGCAATATATACCTTTGTCAAGGACCATACGTATCCAACATTGCTTCTGAGAGTAAAAGTAGTGACTCTCTTATCATCCGCGCTCATCCACCAGCCTTTGGTTTTTGCTATTTCGGTTCTTGGACCTAACTCCAAGTTACACCATTTTGTTGAACCACCATTAGGTTTGCATCCCCAAGTATTTCGGATTCTATTTTGAGAGTAATAATAAATTGTTAACGGCTCGGGTTAAGAACGCTTCCATGATAACAATTCTAGCGACAATTCGCAATGCAAATGGTGTTAATTAAATGAAATTAACAATTTCGCTCCGTCACACGATTAGTCGGAGTTTTGGAGGGTTGTACTACAATTGAGGAGGTAATTCGATTGAGACCATGACCGTGGGCGGATTGTAGTATTTCATGGCCATGCATGCACTTGGGCATTGACGAATTACCTAACCAAGTTACTATATATATATATATATATATATATATATATATATATATATATATATATATATATATATATTATTGCTGTTCTCGAGTGTCGAGAACACTACCTCTCCTCTAGATCTATAGTACGAAATCTGCTCCGAAATGAGATAAACATACGGCAAACTATAGTAATAATGTAACATACGAGGGGACATGGAAAACAGCAACGGTGGACGACTGTCACCGAAGGAATGACGAGAAGGGGAAGAGTGGTGGGCCAGAAGAACGACGAAACAACGGCCGCGGACGATAGCCCATCCATCGCGATGAGATCGACAGGGGCGAAACGATGCCCAACCGACGGAAAACGACACGGTTCCACCGTACGCGACTGTGCTTAAAACGTATACAACCTAGTATGCCTAACGTACCCCTAGCGTATTCCAGCGTATATACTGTTGTCGTATGCGTGATATTTTTCATACGCTGACATACGCTAGTACGATACGCAATAGTGTGACAGGGCCTTTAGCTAGGCAACGATTTACACTCCAAATTGTAATAGTTGTTAGCAATTGCCCGGTGTCACATCACTTTCACAAGATTTTAAGTCATTATGGAAAGGGCAAAAGATGCATGTTGATTGGCTGATAATTAATAATTAAACTTTTTTATTTCGACCATTTTCATTTCTACCATGCATTGGTCAAATACTTTCTATGTATAAGATTCTACATGTCGGTACATCAGGGTGAATGCCACAATCTCGTACATATAATTAACATAGTACACAAATAATGAATGTTAATGAGTGGAATGGTAAAAATATTTGCATAATGTAAAGGTATAATTCCGTGAGGCGATGGCCAAGTCGAATGGAAAATTCGATCTTTCACCGAATGAAAATATTTTCACTATTGCACGATTGAAAGCATTCATTATTTGTTTCATATTCCACCAAAATGCTGAAAATATTTAATAGATCAATTATTAATAGTGGGTTCGTTAACTTTCGCCATCATTTATACCCCGATAGGAATGTGATTACTACTTCAGGCAAGATTTCCCAAAGTTGCTGGCTGGCAATAAAAACTGCTAATTTACAATGGACTATAAAAATTGTTGGAATCGATTTCAAGCAACTGTGCATGCTTCATGAAATTTATGAAATGACTTCATTAAATATTTGAAGCGCAAAAAGTACTATTTAAAACACGAGCAGGAGTGCTTTATCAGATATAAAATACGTGAGGCCAGCTCGAGTGTTTTACATCTGAAGCACGGACTGCAAATGTTTTAAAATGCCTTAAAACGACCTATTTGAGAGTCCATTGGCGAACTAATTTTAAAACTAAACTTCTAAGGCGAGAAAATCAAAGCTAAGGTTTATGTAAATGAAAAAGTTTTTTATCACATATAAAAACAACAGACACGGCAGTGATTTGTTTTGACTTTTACTCATGAATTTTTAATGAATTTTTAACTTGTTTTGGTAACCTTACTGTTCAGTTTGCCGTGAATTTTATTGTTTTTTTACCTTGCATGAGATTGATACTTATAAAAACTCTCATATAGCTCCAAATTAAAATGATCAAATCTCTTGAATATGTAAAATTATACTCAATTGCCATATACCTTTTTTGTTGATGTCCATAAATTTCCCAGAATGTAGGATCGCCATCTTCAATTGTTGCTCGGGCCTTTCCATCGATTATATTAAAGGACACGTATTGACCACAATACCCGTTTGATGGACAGTCATAATTGTTTTGAATGGTGAAAAGATGTTTCCCGTGGGGGATTAACTTAAAAAAGCAACCCGCGTTTTCAACAGTAAGGTATGGGTTATCATATGGCTTACGCATATTATCTCCTACTCTACTCCAGCCTAAGGGAGTTAAAGGCTTTTTCCAAATATGTGGTGTAATGCACCAGGTACCTGCAAGAGACCTATCATAGTTTGGAACTTTAAGCATCGTAGTTAAATATGAATCGGTGATTGGGTATTTATCAGGGTCGTAATAATGGATTACTGGTTTTGAGATATCAACCTCAAACAGGAACTTAAACCAATTTTTCTGTTTAATTCGCATTTTTCTTTGTACGACAAGCATGGCGGCTCCATGAATTTTGACTTCTTCTGGCATTAGCGTAGCCGTCTCCATCAAAATCATATCTTTCAAAATGGCAACATTTGTGTAAACTTCGATATATTTTAAAAGTTTTCGAGAGGTTTTGATCTCGTTTTCTTTTATAAGCGTGCGTATTATACCAGAAAGTTTCCCCATAAATTTAAGGCCTTGCCATAAAGGTACAGAGATTGCTATCATATTTGCTTCATTGACAGTTAGCTTACGATTATACTTGACTAACGAATCAACATAAGCTTTAGAACTATCAAATAGTTCCATAATACCTTCCGCTTCTTCCATGAGTGAACGATCTGCATATTTTTCAAGCGCTTCATCGATTTGTTCCCGGACAATCTCACCCACAGTTTTCTGTTTTTTCTTGCCGCCAATTCCAAACAGACTTAGCAATCCTGATACGAAATTCAATGCTACATTAACAATTTGACCCGTGGGTCCAGCAGCTACGGCAAGGGCACCCACCATATTAATTGCCCCCCTTACGGCCCCCACGGGATCATCACCAGCATTCGCAATTTTTTCAATCTGAGATGCAGCTACATTCATTGAGATCATCAATGCATTTCTGTCGCCATAAGGAAGTGAGCTCCATTTACTTCTCAGACCACTTAAACCAGTTTTTGCACCGTTAGCATCTGCACCCAACTTATTGAACGCATCATCTAGTTTGGTCATGGCAAGTGGAGGATCTGAAAATGAGAGAAAATCATTATAGAAAAATCAATATTCTGAATTCAGACATGCATATAACTATTACGCACAGTCTCTGTCTCTGTCTGGCCTGTCAAAATGAAGTTGTGTAGCATTTTAATAGTTTACTTGAAATACTGATTTATGTTGATCATTATGAGTGCTCAGTCAGGCTTTGTGATGAATACGGACTATAATTAAAGTACAATTATATTTCATTTTATTTTGGTCCCAAGAAAATGGGTGAATATATCAGAAATAAAGCGTTTGCGTAGACCGTACTGGAGTCTTCCACCAGGTTTAATTTAATTTACAGCAAAATATAGCCTACAGCATGTCATATATGGAATTCGGTTCATTGATCAAGCTTGTAAAAGGATTCACGTTCCGAACGAAGGACCTTCGTCAGGAAGTTTTTAAACAAAGACCATTCTCAAATAGGCGTAGAACAGTAAAAAAGTGGGAACTGATCCAACTTTTTCGCTGACCAATCACATTGCGAAGATTTTCGCTTCACTTTGCGTGAACAAATTCCCCTGGTGGAAAATGGGCTTTAGGGCCTCCTCTCGCACTTCACTATTATGGTCTATGTAATGTAACTATCAGACGCCTGTTCTAAAATGTTTGAAATAATTATGTAATAGGCTATTATATCCTGGTTGATTTATATAAGTATACTTAAGTAAAAAACAATTAATTACTTCCATCGTCGTACACATCTTTCAAGGTTGACTCATCTCTTTGCAATTTATCAACACCATATTCGTCCTGTTCCTTTCCAGCCTGTTTAATTAATATGTTTTAGAATAAGTTTTAAGCCGCAATTAAAATTCGGAACGTGTATAACGTTTCGCGCAATTTGATTGGCTGGTTAGCTCCGGACATTCTTGCATTCACCTCCGGACCAAAACAAAGTGTCCTTCAATTTCTTTCCGGCTACACAGGAGCATTTTTTTTTTACTAAACAAAGCTATGTTTTAGAAACATTTTCCTAAATTACTAAAAGCTTGTAAATACTGTTTTGTTCACAACTATATTGCAGAAGCTGTGCAATACATTTAATGTTTATTTTGGGCGTTTTTTTTTGTCATTTTGGTTTTATTCCTGCCCCAAGCATTTCAGAAATTTGAAACCAAGGTCAGGTATATTAAATAAAATGGATGCTGTTCATTTTTTAATGCATGCATATAAATAGTCATACCGATCAGAACAGAAACAATATTTCAGTGTTAATGCTAACATTTGTGCCACTTTTTTTCTTACGTCTAGTCAGAAAACGTACGCTTCCAAGCTTTTGATATAGCTAATCAAAGTATTCTGTATGATCTATCACAAACTCCGTAAGTTTTGTTTTCCCCTAAAATTTCACCCCTAAACAATCTGATCAATATTAATGGCCATTTGCATTATAGACTAAATTATAATCTAGACAAAAATTTCATCACAGCTTGAAAGAGCATCACAATATTAGTAATATTCCAAAGTTTCATTGCGAAATGTTGTAAAATGCGGATAATACAGCCATGCGAAGTTTGCCGTTTTTCAGTCATTTTGTAGTACGCACGGGAAATTGACAGCCCAGTCGGGTGTTGGGGCATCAATTTCCCGTTTGTAATACAAAATGACTGAAAACAGCAAATTTCGCAAGACTATATTATCGCCGTATTTTACAACATTTCGCAACGAATCTTTGGAATATTACTAATTTAATTTGTGATGCTCTTTCAAGCTGTGATGAAATATTTGTCTAGATCAAAATTTAGTCTATAATGAAAATGGTCCATTACACGCTAATGTTTGCATAAAAGAGAATTATAGTCTTTTAAGTTCGTTACTCACTCTTTTGACCCCTATTGTACAATGTCGTCTTACATAGTCAGCTTTTTCTCTCTAGACCTATATAATTTACTTACTTCTTTGAGTAGATTCTCAATCCATCCTGGGCTCCCTTCATTGGTCAATATACCATCACCACCTTCTTCTATAAAGTAATTTTATATCATGACGTATTAGAAAACGGTCTAAAAATATTGTGGTATTATTCAAATGAGCCAGGCCAGCCCGGTTAGCTTAAACGAAACTTGTCAGAAAAATGTTTTCCTGACTATATAAGATGTCTTCATCGTTTAAACAAACTTTGTATAGGTAATCATGCGATGGCGAGAACAATTAGGGATTAATAGTACGAGTGATGTTTGGAAATTTTGCCAAAATTGAACGAGCCGCCGGGGCGAGTCCAATTTGGCAAATTTCCAAACATTACGAGTAATATTAATTCCTAATTGTACGAGCAACATCGCATGATTACTTGCTTATTATTAGCACGAAAAATTGGATACGTATACTTCTCAATGTCAACATCATATTCTCTCGCCAAAGCCCAGTTCTGCCAGACTTTCAACCAAAATTTGGTGCTTTTGTTCGTATTTTCATTTAGTTCCTTTGATAAACCAACATTTGGTGCTTTTGTTCGTATTTTCAACTAGTCCTTCTAGGGCAATTTCATTTCACGTTTGTGTTTAAAATATCTTTCCGCCATTTTGATTATTTTGGGAAAATCATTAATTGTACTGCAGTACAATTAATGAAATAATTGTACTCCTCTCAACCAATCAGCATCCAGTAATTTTGTCATGCTAATAATAAATACTGTTACTGGAATCAAACTAAAACAATGTAATTTTGGGTGTTCATCAAAGCCGTGATACGATAATGCTTTTAATTATCAATTTAAACGAATCATCCCGGTTAACTAGCCCCAGTTCAGCTCCATATGAACATGTCAATATGAACAGTCCCTAAAATTCAAGGTCAACGTTTCCGGTGAGAGGAGAAACCGAAAAATCCAGGGAATAACCTACTGAAGACATTGTAGCGGAAAAAATCAACACTAGCACAAAGCTTATCCTACCTAAATAAATTACCTTATCCCCCAGATCTGCCACCCATGCTCCACCCAAATCCTTTAAATTTTTTACTATATTTTTCAAGCTAGTGTCTGTGGGTAATGTATGACAAACAAGAACAAAATCAAATATAAAGAAACTGTATGACAATTATTACCTTGTGCGCCGTTAAGAAAATTAACAAGACAGAGTATTACAAATATCAAAATCTTCATTTTCATAATCCTGGAATAAAAATATCGGGGTTAATTTAATTACAGTACTATAGTGTATGGTATTTTTGGAATAGTCAAGTTACGTTAATATCCAGATGTGATATCCAGATGGGTAATTTGTTTGGATGCAAAAAATGTTAATAATCACTATACGTACTTTTTATTGGATCTATTGGATACATGATTGGTAGAATGCGGTGTGACAAAACGATTCATATTCTCAGAAGACAACCGGATTTGAAATCGTATCAGAGCTTTATCCAGTATAGGAGTATTTTTGTGAATGGAGGTAGTCGTACATTAAAATTTTGTCCATGCATTCGTGGATTGAAGAGCGCTTAAATTAGTCCATTTTGTTTGTGCAACAGTAAAAGCTGAATTAACTTTGATTAAGCCTAATGGTGTAAAGTTTCTGATGTGAATGGCCGTCTCGTCCGACACGGTTTTGTAGCCATCATGCATTACTGCCATTACACCTCTATTCTGCATCATAACTAAACTTTGTAGACAATCACAACGTTGCACATTTACAAATACAGGCTGGAGAACAAAAATGGTGAGATGTATTATTGTATGCAGTAATCTCACCTGTTTGGATCGTACTTGCGTTCTTCAAATTCTTCGACCCAATCAATTCAGCAGATTTGAGTGGAGTGATTGAGGTCGATTTAATCTGAGCTCTTTTATAGTCTCGTGGTTTCATTTGTAATAAATCAGTAAAATAAACAATTTATATTATTCTATAAGCAAGCAATTTCGGTTCCCAAATTTAAATTAACTGTTGCGCAAGTGTGTAGAATTCTTCTTCAATTCAAGCATTTAGCTCTTAATTAAATTAATCCGTAATTTGAATAAAGAAAATACAAAAAGATCAAAATCACTGGATTGTTAATTTTATTTTGCTTTAACATAACACTTTCTCCACTATAATGCAGGATGAAGGGTTAAGGTACGTTTGCACGCTGCGATCTGCATGTCGTGTTTGATTCGCATTCTGGCCTATGAAAACTATACTTCTGACGTCACAATCCGGCTTATTTATGGAGAAATTTGAAATGCAACCAAGTTATGTGTGCATATTTGTTTATTCATGCTCTATAATACCGGAATGGTATACGACAAATCGTACGGTATATGTAAATGTACCTTTATATGAAGTGAAGCAACCCAGAAAAGAACTTTTTAACTCACTTGCCTTGAAGGTAAATGCATACAAAGCTTTTTGGTTTCGTAGTAAGAATTTTTCTTTTTAAATAACAGTTGTGGAGAAACTCCTAAGCAGATATTTTTCGTTTTTTTGAATTTTTCCTACTTCAGTAGGTAATCTACAATCCGGAAAAAAATTGGACTGGCTTTGAAAAAGAAAATTGATTAATATTCAATTATATCTCGTAAATTTTACTATATTTTTTTAATTAAAGCTACAAAATCTTTATAATAATGTCGCTAAGATTAGATAGAGAAGTACTATAGATGATTAACTGCATTATTGCACATAAATTATATGCGTTCATCGACATGAGACGATATCTTCGAAATCAAGTTTACCGGTCATTTGAAAGCCTTAAGGTATATAATAAAGATTTTTATGCACATGTAATATCCCAGGATGCACGTAGAAAGTTTAATTTTGTTTTTAGAAAATTTTGTCCCAGGCTGCAGCGCGTAAAATAGTTTTGTAGTTTTTCTAGAACATCTAGTAGTATGCACTATATGCACAGTTTTCATTATTATTATATGAAATAGGTCATAGTTAAACCCTATACATGCATGGTTTGCTGTTATAAATACTATTTTCCAAGGAGGTCTAAAGGTTTGATTAAATTTTAATTAGTATACATATACCTTTTCAATTGAAGTTGATTTTGGCAACACCTGTAACATAGTTTGTCCAAATTCAAATATGCCGTAGTCTTAATAAACCGCGGCTAAAATTGGCCTAGAATTGAATAAAATCTTTGAAACCGGCCAATTGTTGCGGCAAATTTATCGTTTATCCAAGACAGTCCTTTGTGACTTATTAAGCCGAGACTATAATTACACGCGACTAAATAGAGTACGAGCTAGAGACAGCTAACACATATCCTCGATGGATTTTTTCTTCCACGAAAATGTAAAAATAATTTTAATAATAAATTGAACAATTAAAAAGACCATGAACTTTCTCTCCTTCTTCTTTCATCAAAGTCGGTAGAAAACGTACTGTATATGCATATGGACTTAACATATATATTCTGTCTTTTACATAAATAATTTTTTTTTAATCTAAAAAAGCAACATATGTTCTACGAAATCTGATTGCTTCCGAAACAGGTCAAATTAAATTATACGAATCGTCGTTGAATTATCCTGTGTGTCAAAATGCGTCGTTAGTTTCAAATTGTTTTAATTTTGAGATTTTGTTTTACAAGTACTCTCTTCCTAAGCTTGTCGGCTGATTACATGGCTTTGGATAATGCCAGGCTTTTTTAAATTAAACTGATCATAAAATTAATTTAACTTTTTCATTTCTGCATTGCCGCCAAAATAATAATATGTTCATGGTCGGAAAAAGAATTGAAAATAATAATTGCATTAATATAAATCGATAAAATTCAGATAAACTCCAAATCATTGCCAATGATCAAGCATGTAGTTGGAAGATGTGTCTAAACTCACGCGGTAGATTTCAAAGCGCAAAAATTAAGTTTTTCAGTCAAATTTGTCGGATTTTGCCTCAAAATTTTACTGATTTTAATAAACTGACAGAAATGATTTAATAAAATAAATTTATTCTCATTTTCTATACCTGTTGTAACTAGTTTCTATACCTGTTGTAATTTGAATTATAGAGGCCTAATCCAATGCTCTGTGGTTATAATTATTTGCATCATGCATGCAAGTGTATAAAATTATGTAATATCGAATATAAAGCTCGTCGAGTATGCGGTTTCATGCATGTATATACTTTATTATTATATGGCTTTTCAAAATTCTCTATTCTGATTGGTTGACAAGCGGTCCGTAAAAACCCATATCCGGACCGTATATTTACGAATCTGGACCGGTGTCCCGGATGTCGTTTATCTGGCGGGAAATTTTTGCTTTGCAAACAGAGAAATTTTTTGCTTTTTAAATTTCCAATTGTGCTTTACAGATAAAAATTTCAAACAACCAAATTGTTTTTGATTGAGGTTGCATGCCTACCGTATAATTATTGTTACCCAGTGAAACTGACGATAGCCGATTTAATTCGCGCGAAAAGCATATGCTCACAGACTCAGTTCAGCCATATAATAAACCGATTATTGACCTCGCTTGTTCGGTCTGTACTGTGAAATATCAGCCCTCTGTTTTTTGCATGGACCTCGCTCCTTCATCGCTCAGTCCATACTAAAAACCTCGGTCTGATATTTCACAGTACGAACCTCACGCTAGCTAGGTCAATAAGCCGTTATTATTATTATTATTATTATTATTATTATTATTATTATAATAATACAGTGACCAGCGAGGTAGGCAGTTCACGCTCACGGCGCTCCTGTACTTTTTGAATAGTTCATGTAGTTTAACTGCACTAACATTAGTTTTGAGCTTTTGGAACTTCACCTTGAGTATGAAAGGGATCATTATGGTGCTTTGTGTGGTATTGATCGTTATCTTTGGGCAAATTTTGACCGGCAATGCAACGATATGTGAGTATTGTGGAAAGGATTTCAAATCGCTGGGCAGACATCAATGGCGTTGCAAATCACGAACTGGTGTCGGAAACTCACCTAATACGGAGAGAGCGTCTTCTTCAACATCTGCGGACAATAATGCATGTACGGTAGGGTCGACTAATGTCGCAGGAGAAAGTTTTATGTGTTATTGTGGGCGTACATTTAATAGTTATCGTTCACTAAATTTACATCGCCGATCATGCTTTGTACAGAATAACCCGTGCTTTGCTGAACTGTTTGCTCAACAAGATGATAGCATTACTATTGCAAATAGTAATGAAAGCATGACCGAAGTTCTGTTTCCGACCGATAAGTTTAAAGTGTTATCAGGAGTAAAACTTCCTCGATCGGATCTTAGTTGGAAAGCAGCTAACGAGTTTTTTCAGTCGCAATTCAGTGTTAGACCAGAGCTGCGAGACTTGGATTCGGAAATTGTATTCATGAATAACGTTATCTGGTCTTACTCTAAAGATACATGTGGTTTGATAAAGTCGGCTAATAAATTTGAACACTATAGAAGTATGTCAAAATCAAAGTTAAAAAAATGCTTAAAAGATTTAAAATCGAACGGAGGCAGCTTGGAGGAAATAAAATTTGTCAGTAAGTTATTGCGAAAAAGAATGCAGTCAAGCGTTAATGACCAGCGGGATTATGAAAATGAATTAAATGAGAACTTTTGGAAATTTT